TACTTAGCTCAGCATGTTTATCAAAAGGACTTCTCATGTTTATTTTACTCAAGACCGATAAGACCCTATATTATTAGAACATGACATAACTTCAACTACCTTCAGCAACTGGAATTGGGCGAAGAACGTATAACTTTTATTGGCTACCCCTAACGGCCATAGGATTTTGGAATAAAGTGAATTCTCCTACTGAAAATACTGACGTAGAATTCCAAACTTTATCCTGTTGACAACGACAACGTTTTAAGTTGCAGTGTTCCTAAAGCTTTAAAGAGAAGTAACCGCATAGAGGACTCTAATGGTCGTGTTTCCACACAACATCGATAAGCACCTGGGTAACGACATAAAACAAATTAAACAAAGGAAGGTCAGACGGCTGTTTTAGGGAGCGCTGCTAACAGTCTGTATGTGCGATTCATCATTTGCTTATATTTGCTATCAATTAACTTGAGCCAACACAAGACTAACCAACTGGAGAATGAGCAAAAATAGGTTTTGGACAACCACTTTATGATAACCAAATTTCAAATGCATTATACAGACTCGGCTGAGAGTAGGCAGTCACCAGTGGCGGAGAAGACAATACGCAGGTCTAAGAAAAATTAAGAAAGATGGCTTAAGTGTTCTGCATCTTCTCCTTTTATTGCCTCATGAGCTTACCGCTATCGCCTAACTTTAAAGTAATCTGAGGACGGGGGTAGGGGGCGTGGTGGTATAATTTAACAACCCAAACGCCCTTTCGGAAGGGTATGGCCAAATCTGCACGGGGTTTTTTCCGTTATCTGAAGTTGGTATTCCCCGCTAGGAAGCAAATCATTGTGCCTTACTGCTGCGTGTCCGCGGGTAAAATTAAGGTAAGTTCTCGAAATTAATCATGACAATTCTGATAAACATTGTGCAAAAGACACATGATAAAACCGAAAGCCAACGCAATCAACTAACGCTAGTTCTGCTGCCTCTGCTGTGTCAGCATACTACTGACAAGCTTCAGGTTAGAATACACCTGTCCGCTTCTGACTGAGTAGCTTTCGTGTTCAAATTTCAAAATATAGACCCAGAACCAAGCTTGTCTTCTATATCACAAAAGTAAAACCTTTGAAGGATTATACAGAAGGTTTTATTCGTATTCTCACTCCTTGCGTGGTCTAAAGAAAAAATAGGCCAAAATGTCGAGATACGGCATTTAAGTACAAAAAACGTTACCATACCAATAAAAACCTTCGAATGAAAGAGTCCGTATAGCGGTAAAATTAGTCAAAAAGCTTGAGCATTTTTAGGATGCACATTGAATACTTTTCTTTTTGGAGAAACCTAGTAAACGTATTCAACGTTTGGCAAAAGCACCTTTATGCCTGCCCTAAGTAAGATCTATGTCTGGCAATAATTATATGCTAATTTGGTAAACTAGAGTAACCTTTACCAAAGGGGAATGTTTCCAGAACGCAGATATTCGCGTTTTGGAAGTGGCCACAGGCCCTTCTCGACACCAGAACGCAAGCTTCCTCAAAACCTTCGGTACGCGTAAAAAAGTTTTTCTAAATTAATTTCTGTTCTCTGCATACATCAAAATGTTTTAGGTCCATAGGCATACACCGAAATTTGACGTTTATATTTGGGGTGAATTCCGTCAAGCACAACATATGCTGTCAGCAGACAGACTTTATTAATATACATTGATGTTGTAACTTACCATACTAACAGCCCATGCACTAGCTAAACGGCTCAGACATCTGTTTCGCCAGTATTCTGCCGCTGCTTGACACAACTGCGAGTGGTCCGGCTCATCAGTGGGTCCGTCAGCTTTCCCTGTCTGCTTTCTGGTTGATATACCGGTTTTAAAAGTTCAGCTTTTTAATCTCCTAAGAAATTAATTTCTGTTTGCAGTATACATCAGTTTATTTAAGGTCTATAGGTATAGTTACAACGTCAATGCATACTTATACTGTCTGCCCGTTGGCAGCATGTGTATATTAAGCCCAAATGTGCACATAACCTGATGTATACTAGGAACAGAAAGCAATTTCTAAAAAAATTTAAAAGCTGAACTTTCAAAATTGGTA